TTTTACGCCTAATGTTAACCAGATAGTGGCTTTATGCCTCGTATTAACCAGTTTTTTAGGCCTCATGTTAACCAGATAGTGATTTTATGCCTCATACTAACCCGCTGACAATCGGAAGCCATTCCATGGTATGGGGAACCTGCTAACCGGCACAGATGTTACATTCTGAAGCCATTCTAGGGGACTGATAACGCCTAATAACGTCCATTTCATGGATGATAACATCCGAAGAGTGTGCATGTGAAGAGGGCAGGTTTGGATCTAGATGTTCTTAAATCCTTTTACACTTGTGTACTRAGAGAGTCCTGACCCCCAGCTTCACAGTGGTGGTACAGCAGCTGTACTGTGGTAGAGCAGGAGGAGCTGCAGAGGGGGGTAAAATCTTCTCAGAGGACCATCGGGTGCAGCTTACCATCCCTCAGGAACATTTATATCAACAGGTGCAAGGCAAGAGCCACCTGCATCCTTCATGACTCTTCCCATCATGCTCTGTTCACTCCTCTACCCTCAGGGAGGAGTCTGTGCTGCATCCAGGCAAAACCTTCCAGACTGACAAACAGCTTCTCACCCACACACTAACACTAACACTGCACTTTACCATCCAGCCTGTCATCTGCTGCTTCTGAGGTCCAGCTGCTGCACTTCTCCTTTTATTTTACTTTTTTCTACATTCAATTATGGTCCTTTTAAAATTTTTATTATTGGAAAAAATGTTTTGTTTTTAATATAATGACATCTATCACAACACTTTTTTATATTGTGTCATCTTATTTATTGCATTTTWATCATAATACACACTGAGTCCTGGGAAACCGTCTTTGGTTCTGTAAGGTTTGAATGCCAAAAGACTGAGTCTGATGCCTGTTTAAAGTTCAGAATTCTGCATTAGAGAAAGAAACCAGCTTCATGAACTGATTACTTTTATTCATAGAGCAGTTTGATCAGGTGATGTAACAGTATTGTCAACATGTTCACTGGTTTGTGAGGCGTAAAATAAAGGTTGCTGCTCTCTGTTGAATTTTTGAGATGAATAAATATATTTTTATGATGGTTATGTTGCCGTCACGGTTTATTTCTGAAACTTTGTGAGTTTTTCATAAAGACTGTCTGTGTCTTGTGTAGCCGTTACTGATCGCTGTACTTCACAATGAGACAATTAGTCAGGAGGTAGTTTACTCCACTTTTCACAGTTTGGATTAATGCCTTCTTCACTCTGTAGTTTTCAGCTCTGGGCTGATAAAGTGCCTTTTAGGAACTGTTCACTGTTCTTTTCCTCAGCCAGTCTAGATGTTTCTATATGTTTTATATCATTTATCCTGTTAAAGAACACATGACCTGCAGGCAGTACTGGAGAAAGTACTCAAACTCTGTACTTAAGTAAAAGTACAGATAACCAGACAAAAATGTACAAAGTAAAATTAAAAGTACCACATTTTTATTTGAGTAAAATTAAGTAAGTACTTGCTATTAAAAATACTTAAAGTAATAAAGTAAAAGTACTTGCTTAATGTATTCTCTGATGGTCTACTACAGTATCATAAAGTGTGCCTACTGTATGTATATTTTAATACATCAGTGGTGTATCATTTTAGTGATCAATGTTGCAGACAATGCATGGTTTTGTGTTTACCCTCTGTRACACTGTTCACACTTGGACTTGTGATTCTCTGCATCATCACAGATTGTGACAACAGCTACAGAAGCTGTAAATTCGCCACTAAAGTCCTTTATCGAATCTCAACAAGTCGTTTTTTGAAGCAGTTAACTTGAATATGTCTTTTACATAAGTACTGAGCCAAACGAGACGACTGTAAATGAGAGCTGCTGCTTTGTCAGACAAATTTAATTTAATTTGAAGCCTTAACACAGACTGGCTTCATTCACTTCCTCCACTGCCGTATGCTAAAATAATTAGCAGACACTGCACTGAAAATCGACATCATTCAAAACCCCGCCTTCTGTTTGTTGATTGGCCAAGGTAAAATAAACTACAAGCTGACATTGCACAGAAAATCGACATTCTTTTCTCTGATTGGTTTGGCTAAAAATCTGCCAGTGAAATCCTTGTCTATGGGAGAAATGCCAGACGAAGCAGAGAAGGGAAACTAGAATTGAGCGGAGCTGTATAGGAAGGCAAGGGCCAAGCTAGTTTTGCAG